TTCACTGGGTTGTTTGTTTTTCGGGCGTGGAGTTTGGTGAGTTCCTTATAGATTCTGGATATTAACCCTTTATCTGATATGTCATTTGCAACTATCTTTTCCCATTCCGTTGGTTGCCTATTAATTTTCTGGGTTGTTTCCTTGGCTGTGCAGAAGCTTCAATGAATAATTTTTAAGTTCTGAAAATTCATCAAGCTACAATGGAACTAGAATGTCATACCTTGGGGTATATCCCAGTTACCTATTTATTTGCTGATTGGCATTGGTTAAATCTTTCTGAATGTTAATGTTATCACCAGCAAAATGTAGAAGTGACTACATTGGAATGGGTATGATAAAAATTAAGTAAGGTGATGGGTGGCAAGGACCTAATGTAGTGTTGTTGGCCCTTAGAATAAATGTTCCCTGCCTAACAGATCCTAAATACGATGCATAGCTCACCTAACCCTACCTTCTGCTTTGTGGCATCTTACTCAAGACCATGGTGAAAATGGGCCAGGAGGGGAAACATCGCTCATCCTTGACTCATGCTTATTATTCTCATTTCTATCTCCAAGTTTTCACTCCTTTCTGGAAACTGTCTTAACACCCCTAAAAGTCATTTTGACTTTTCAAATCTTGTTATTCCTGAAGAACTAAGTAAGCCGTATCTCCTCCAGGAGCTCAACTCTTCCTGGCTGTATGGACTGCTCATTGTTCTCACTTTTCATAATGTTTAGAGCTTATACCACATAATCTGTCACTTAAGGATGTGCTCTCTTATATTCTGAGAGTATTTCGTGTAGATATAACTATTATCTTCAACTAAGTTAAAATTTTCCAGGGAGGAAAAAAGGCTCAGTCAGTTAAGCGTCCACTTTGGCTCAGGTCATGATTTGGTGGTTGATAGAGTTTGAGCCCCATGTGGGGCTCTGTGCTGACAGCTTGGAGCCTGGATCCTGGATCCTGCTTTCGATTCCATGTCCCCCTCTCACTCTGCCCCTGCCCCGCTCATACTCTGTCTCTCTCTCAAAAATAAATAAACATCTAAAAAATTGAAAAAAAAAATTCCAGGGAGAAAAAAAGACTATCCTTTTCCTATTTTCTATATTCATTACTTAGTAACATACTGAGTATAATGTACTGGATGTATAGTACCTCAAATAGCTTCCATCATATAACAAATCTATTAATTACCAGCGTTGAAATTATTTGAGTACATGTGTTTTTCAAACACTAAATAGGGATACATTTGTTTATCCTTGTATGGATTCATTCTTCTTTTATTATATTGTCAATTTTATATGTATATTTCAAGAATAAATATTTTTCGCTTTAAAAATAAACTCCTAGGGGTGCCTGGGTGGCTCAGTCAATTAAACAATCAACTTTCACTCAGATCATGATCTTGCAGTCCGTGAGTTCAAGCCCCATGTCGGGCTCTGTTCTAACAGCTCAGAGCCTGGAGCCTGCTTTGGATTCTGTGTCCTTCTCTCTGCCCCTCTTTGCTCACACACACACACACTCCCTCTCTCTCTCTCAAAAAGAAATAAACATTAAAAATTTTAAAAATTAAAATAAAAATAAACTCCTAGTGCCAGGCAATTTGGTCAAGGGTAGGGATGCAATCAGTGTTTTTAGAAAACAAATTACTGAATACTATCTATATACATTTGTCCTTTGCGCTCATGTGCATTTTCTAACACCATCCTGGATTCTGTTAGGACTTATGACAAATTGTAACTATTAATAAATAAAGTGCTGTAAGATGTGAGATTCAACCATTCAAGAGATGATCTCTTCAGAATGGAGAATAAAATGTTGAAAGTCTAAATTATTTGTAAATGACCTGCTTCAGGACTCAGGGCACTTGAGTGAGTTCTGTGACTTCTGTATGTTTTTTATAGAACTGTGGGTAAATCACTTAACAACCTATGTGGCCAAAGATTCTTCCTTATGAAATAAAAACACTAACACTTGCTATGCTGGTCTCTTAATGTTTTCATTAAAACCCAAACTTGGTAAAAGATGTAAAAATACTTTGAAAACCTTAGAACACTGAGCAGATATATGGTAGTCTTTTGATTTTGCTTTGGTTGGAAACAGAATTATGCTTTTGAAAGGAATTTCTTGGAAACAGAATTATGCTTTTGAAAGGAATTTCTAGATGATAAAAAACACATCACATCACATTAAATGTTATGAATAGTTTTCCAAAGGAAACTATTCAGATGTTTGGTCTACCAACTTGTCAAGCACCTGGAGGTTTCCAAAAAGAGTTATTTAAATCTTTATCATAGCAATTTTTTTTTGAATAGTTTTATGATACCTGGTAAATTGAATGGAAAAATTTCCATTTAAACTGGTTATTTGATGATATGCCAAGTGTACACAGCTTTGAAAGTTGCCCAAATCTCTAGGCCAGTTTTCTGAAGATGCATATCTTTTCATGACAAGTGAAGAATCATTAACAAACGGAAAATAATGTAATAGGTCTTTTTCACTAGACTAGGGCTTGGGACTCAGACACTGAAGCCACTTGTAGTTAGGTATTGCCCCTCCACCACGATATATGCTGGGTTTTGAAGCTTGGATGCTACTAAGTAGAATTTGAAAGTGCCCTCTGTACCTCACTCCCCAGCTCCTATATCTTATACTGTCTTAAGTAACTGCAGTAGAACATTCTTTGAAGGTGGAAGACAACCAGAATCCTGACTCCTTTTTGAGATGTATACATATAATTTCATGTTGGATATGCTGAAGTAGCTTTGATTTAGGCAAATTTCAGAAATGCACAAGGATTTATTTGGAGAGAAAAAACACTAAAAACTAGAGACAAGGACCTGATTATGTACTTGGATTTCCTCAGCAGGACAGAAGAGAGTGGAGTAGGGTTGGTGATCATATTTCTAGGCTAATAGAATCCAACCTATGGCATGACTTGGCCATTCTGAATACACCGCTGCGCTTTGGAAAAATGGCTGCATGTATGTGACTTAAAAACTTTATGTTTTAAGTGCTCTAAACAGTGGTATGCTGGTAAATTTTTCGTAATTGGCTCTCTGGAATAACAAATGCATGTATGCACATAAATACATATGTTTATGATAAGTTTTACTAATATAAAGGATATATGGCAAATAATTTTAAGATAACAAAATATATGATAATTCTTTATCATAAATTCCATACAATCATTATATTCTCACAGAATGCTTTCACTATGAATGAGTGAAATCAAAACAAAGATATATTTTGGAATTTCACTCAAATGTCAAAGATGTGAGCAACTTCTTAGTTGAACTGGACAATCATTTTTAAATACTGAAAGAGTATTATCTTGAGTTTTTGTGTTATTCACATCACAATTGCTATAAAGACTCATTTTTAAAGTTTAATCTGCATTATAAACATTTTTTTATCACTTTCTTACATATAGACAATAAGCAGAGCAATAAATGATTCATAGCATTTCTGTAATCAAATTCCCTCAACCACAGCTGTTTTTCATAACTAGATCATAATATTCCTGAAATTCTAACAATCAGCATTCACTGTTTCTAGCATGCCATTGTCTATAATTTTTTGCAGCTCAGGCAGTTTTACTATAAGAAGTCTACATCTGAATATGAGATAGGGGAGGCCAATATGCTAAAAGAAACCTTTTGCCTTGGTTGAATTGGCTGGAAATTTGTATCAGCCCAGTGGTCAATGAAAATATGGACAATTCAGGCCTTGGGACTGTTGCCTGGCTGTCGGTGACATCCGACATGCAACTTCATCTGTAACTAGGTAGTGCCAAACCCACCAATAATGGCAAGATCGTCAACATCAGTAAGCAGGGCTTTCTGGAAGGCTGTTCTGTTCAAAGCCCAATCTTTATTTATTTAATTTTTTTTTTTTTTTTTTTTTTTGAGAGAGAGAGACTGACAGCGTGAGCAGGGGAGGGTCAGGGAGAGAGCAAGACACAGAATCAGAAGCAGGCTCCAGGCTCTGAGTTAGCTGTCAGCACAGAGCCCGACACAGGGCTTGAACCCACGAACCGTGAGATCATGACCTGAGCCAAAGTCGGACGCTTAACCGACTGAGCCACCAAGGCGCCCCCAAAGCCCAATCTTTAGAAGCGCGTCTAAATTCCTGTTCTCCCAGTATAAGGATCAATGGAATTTTGAGTAATTTTTTGAGTAATTGTTAAAAGTATTTAAATACAGAAACCTCAGGAAGAAGTCTAATCTTACGTGACTGACCTCAAGTCATTTCACTGTGAACATTAAAAGATGGTACGACCTTCTTTTCTCATCTCTCCGCTGTGATGCCTGGTTATCTGTGGCAATACTGTTAGAGGACTATAGAGGCTTTAACACCTAACACAAACCTACAGTGAAGCTTGGAAATACTCATTTTTGAAAATGACCACACAGTGGCTCAGTCGGTTGAGCATCTACTCCTGGTTCCAGTTCTGGTCATGACGTCATAGTTCATGAGTTCGAGCCCCACTTCCAGCTTTGCACTGCGAGTTCCGATTCTCTTTTTCCCTTTCTCTGCCCCTCCCTTGCTTGCATGTTCTCTCTCTCTTAAAATTAATAAACTTTTAAAAAAATGACCACAGAGACAAGTCTCAAACATTTATGATTTTATTCATGGACAGTAAGGGGTACATTAAATCAATAGATGAATAAAGCATTCCTTGATGGCTAAATTAAAATGTGAGCATGAAGACTTCTCAAAATTAGCATTATATGGGATGGTGAGAAAGGATTATACATGATAAAATGAAAAATGTTTATTTTTAATTAGTCTTGACATGATGTAGACAGATACTGTACTTCTAAGAACAAGGTAAGTGGAATACTGAGGAGTAATAAGTGACATGAATTCTGTTCCCCCTTCTTCTGCCAAAGCTTCTCTCATCAAGTGGACTTATTTTGTCGTGGGCTATACAAGTAAAATGAGAGTGGGGTAAAAATATAAGTCATTCATAGCTTTACAGTTCTGAATTGAGCCTGCATAATTCAGGGGCACATTTGAGGGGTTTTGTTCAAAGGCTAATTTCTTTTGCTCCCCAAAGAGCAGAACAAACTTCACCATCCTTAAAAATATATTAAAGATCAAGCTTTAGAAAATTTCTCTGAATTCATCTATTTACCGGCTGGCTAGACTGATAAAAATATAAGCAGTATAAGGCCAAATAAAAAGCAAAATACACTCAAGTGCCACTGTGAAAATACACAAGATTCCTGGTGTGTTTAGATCTCTCGATTCTTGTCCCAGCAAGTAGCATCTCAATGCAGGAGATTTTCTGAGTCACAGTCTGATTAAAAGAAAAAAAAAATTGGAAACCATGGTTATTATAAATTATAAAATATTATGTAACGTTAATAATTAACATTTATAAAATGTAAGTAAACTAACAATCCTACTGAGTGGCAACAGCATTAGCTCCATTTCACAGGTGAGAAAACGAATTAAGTAAGCTGGTTTGAAGTCCCACAGCTAGTTTGGGGCAGAACTAAAAAAAGAGCTGGTTTCCAAACCCAATTTCCTTTCCAAGAAACTAGATTGCCAGTTTTCCCAGTAATGGCACATGCCCCCTAGCATTCCAAATCCCTGAGGAGTTGAATGGATATCTTTTGAGATGCTAAGCTTTTGGTGTCTGTGACTAATAAAAAGATGGGCATAATTTCCAGAACTCCCTGCAGAGAGGAATCACATGCCTGGTTCATCAGGCTGTGTTAAATGGGGCTTGTTGAAGAAATGGGTATTGCCCCTGATTTTAGGACCGTGCTGCTTTTTTTCTTAAAGAAGTGATGGTTGATGGTGTCTGAGTTGATTATTCCCTTTATAATCTCTCCACAGGTTTAACTCCAGAAAAGATTAACGGAAGGGGGTGGGCAAGATTAACCTTTTCCACATATTTTATCCTGAGTTTTTCCCCATTTATGATTTTGTGTTATTCAGGGACTATTTTTCAATGAAACGAATACCATGTTCAGTCAGGGCAGTTTGGTTTCCCTGACCCAACTCATGTATGATTCTATAAAACACAAAAATAATACATGTATTATAGCTTATTGGGACACTTTAAAAGAAATGATAGCATCAAATCATGTAGTATGTTCTTAAATATTATTAATTTTCTGACTACCTTATAAATTATAACTATCAACTCTTGAACAAGAATAAAAGAGGCTTTTTAAAAATGAATTTTTCTGGAGTGCCTGGGTGGCTCAGTTGGTTGAGCTTCTGATTTCGGCTCAGGTCATGATATCTCAGTCTGGGAGTTTGAGCCCCGCATTGGGCTCTGTGCTGACAGTTCAGAGCCTGTAGCCTACTTCAGATTCTGGGTCTCTCCCTCTCTCTCTGCCCCTCCTCTGCTCACACTCTGTCTCTTCTCTCTCAAAATAATAAATAAAAACATTTTTAAAAGATGAACTTCTCTTACCCTCATCTTAGTTCGTATGAAACTCATCATTACCTAAGAGAAATTCGAAATTTTTAGCAAGGATTGAAGCAGTGTTAAACTCACAGGTGACCACTTGGCCACTCTTCTCAGTATATTAGTAGGCACAAAACCCTAAGTTGTTTTTGTTCAATATGGTGGCTTTTTTTTCTTTCTTAAATGGAGTCATTTAAAAAATGTACAGTCAAAAATAAAAGATAAGTGAAATAAATTTTAACAAATCAATAAATGAAAATATAAAGTGAATTGTATTTTAGTATATTATAGAACTCAGTGGCCCATCTTTCTCAACTTTGAAATAAAAGTAAGAAAATATTTGGGAGCAAAAAATAAAAAAAGGTCTTACGTGATATAGTGCAGAGTGTCTTTTTCACAATCAGCTTCAGATTTTAGTTTACAGGTCATGGCCTCACAGCAAGGATTGGAACATTTCTTTAAAGCACACAGACACAAAGTTGATTCAGCATTTCTTCCTATAGACTAGGTTCATACAATTTTAGTACAAGATGGCAAATAAATTTCACTTTTTAAACTAAATTACTCTGCTCTACAAATTACAGAGGAGATGACCAAAGAAATTTAATCATAGAAAAACATGTTTAGCCCAATGAAAACCACTTCTTAAGAGGACAAAAATAGAATTATCCAAGAATTACCACAAATAAATTTGGCTTAGCTGGTATTACATGTAAATTAATTTAAAACTTCAAGGGAGAATATTTCTATACTACTCAAACTATTTGAAGGAAGGGAAAAAAATTTAATTCTTAAATTATTTTACTAAGCCTACATAATTCTGATAATGAGAGTTGGTAATGAATATTCACATGCACACACACATGCACACACACACATACACACCCTATTCTCATTTATGAATATAAGTACAAAAGCTTGAATAAAATATTAGTAAATCACCAGTTTATAATATAATAACTCTATATTACAACTATGCAGGGGTTTTTTTTTCACCAAAAATACAAGGGTGTCTCAACTATATAGAATAAAGTAATATAATCCATTATATTAAGAGACTGACAGGAGAAAACAACTAATCTTGTGATAGATGGCAAAGATTAGAAAATAAAGATAATCTAGAAAGAAAGAAAGTCTATCTGACAAATAGCAAAAAAATATATCCAATAAAATAAACACGAAGACCTGGATTATTTATGGTCTATATTTTTTATGAAAATTCTGACAGATGCTATGAGATAAAGAAAAGATATGAAAGTGTAATAATAATTGGAAAGCATAAATAAAATTTTCATCGTTTGTATGTAATAAAATATTTGAGCTGGTAAAAAAAATAGAGCATCAACTCTAAAAACATTGGATGAGTCACTAAGAAAGCTTTTTAAGATAATAAAATAACATAAAACAGTAATAAATCACCTAATATAAAAAAGTAAGCAATACAAATACTAAAAGCAAAAAGAAAAATAGAAAATACTTCAAAAAAAGCTTTCATAATAAAATAAGAGCCCTAAGAAGAACTTTATATTTAAGTCTCCTGAGAAACTCAAAAGGCAACTTGTCTAAAACAATAATACTGTGAAAGTGCTAGTGACCTTCAGAATGACACGTGAATTTCATGCATTTCAATCAGAATCTCAGTTCTATTTGTAGGAAAACTGACAAAATACCAAGAATTATATGGAAGAATGAACACTAAGAAATGACTACACAAATTCCACCCTCCAAAATGAACACATTTGGGGTGCCTGGGTGGCTCAGTCAGTTAACTGTCTGACTCTTGATTTAGGCTCAGGTCATGATCTCACGGTTTGTGAGTTCAAGCCTCACATCGGGCTCTGTGCTGAAAGTGTGGAACCTGCTTGGGATTCTTTCTCTCTCCCTTTCTCTCTGCCTCCCCCGTTTGTGCTCTATAAATAAACTCTAAAAAAAATAAACACACTTGCTACTGAAGTGGCAAGTAAATATGTAGATCAAAACAGTAAAATAGCATATTAGATCATAGAAAATAAGGTTATTCACTAAAAAATACTATATAAAGTTTACATGATATTTTTTGGATAAGAAAAGAGCTATTGAAAAATTCAGTTGTTCATAAGCTCGAACTCCCTAATTTTATTCAACTCCTAAAGAAGAAAATCAACACAATACGTAAATAATATAGGAGTTGGCTGATATACGTAAAGAATATTAACTCTTTCACATCATATAAACAGTGTTTCTCTCTCTTTGTTTCGCTCTCTCTCATCTCTTTTCTGTGTGCACTGACTATACTCCATGTGCTGAAATTAGAAGCACCTAAGACTGTAAATGATTTCAATTGTCTTCCACCCAGACAGCCTTACTGGAGTGTAAGCAAGTGGGAATGAGATCAACTTAAACCTGAGATAAACTTATCATAGAGTACCAAAGTATTTGTAACATTTCATATCTCATCATAATTAAAAGAATATTTATTATATTCTTTGCAAATGACTAAGTTACACCATGACATCTTCTAATGGAATTCAACAGCTTAAAATGTCTGAATGAAGAGCGGAGGCATAGAGTGGTTATATGCCTTCACCATTGTCATGGAGCCTCTCAAAGTAATGAATTAATGTGGGATTGTCACAGGCTTCATCCATTACTGGCTTTGTATCTTTGGAACGAGTTACTTAACTTTTCTGAGCCTCACCTCTCTACCTTGGGATAATAACAAAATTTATTCTGGAAGTTTGTTGTGAGCCATAAAGGAGGGATGGTGTAAATAAAAGTTTACAAATAGCTTCAAATAATAACTCAATGCTGCAGTCTTTAAAAAAGTAAAAGATGATCGCTAGGAACACAAAATGCTCTCTTAGAAACTTAGTGTGGGATTGCTGGCAAATATTCTATCAGAGACATTCTCTAGAGTACACGGATGCCTTATAGGGGTCAGGTTTTTAGAAAGATTAGCAGAATTATAGTAATTATCTCAGATATTTTATATTAACAGCCAATTCTCTACAGGTTTATGTGATCTTCTCTCCCCCCTCCCCTTCTCTGTTTCATTTACTGCTTGGTTTATACACTGGCTTGTTGAGGGAAGTCCATCTCTCTCTCTGTGGAGAGAACTTACTTCTAGGTCTGTAATTGGTTTTGTTCAACAAATGATCAACCATGATGTTAGGTGATTTAAGAATTTCTGACTAATATATCTAGGAAAGATTGTAAATAACATGTTATAGTTAACGATTTACTTCTTTACATTGAACTTCATATAATAATCAAGTCATAAGTGTATCCTGCCTTTGTTTTTAATTTTTTTAAACATTTTTAAAAATTTATTTCTGAGAGAGTGAGAGAGAGAGAGAGAGAGATGAGAAGGGGAGGGCCAGAGAGAGAGGGAGACAGAATCTGAAGCAGGCTCCAGGCTCTGAGCTGTCAGCACAGAGATTGACACGGGGATCGAACCCACCAACCATGAGATCATGACCTGAGCTGAAGTTGGCCAACCAACCAACTGAGCCACCCAGGTACCCAGTATCCTGGCTTTTGAACCGCAGCAACTTCTTACTTGACACATCCCCAAAAGCAAGGGAATCAAGAGCAAAAATAAATGATTGGGACCTCATCAAGATGAAAAGCTTCTGCACAGCAAAGGAAACAACCCACAAAACTAATAGGCAACCAACGGAATGGGAAAAGATAGTTGCAAATGACATATCAGATAAAGGGTTAATATCCAGAATCTATAAGGAACTCACCAAACTCCACACCCGAAAAACAAACAACCCAGTGAAGAAATGGACAGAAGATATGAACAGACACTTCTCCAAAGAGGACACCCAGATGGCCAACAGACACATGAAACAATGCTCAGCATCCCTCCTCATCAGGGAAATACAAATCAAAACCACACTGAGATACCACCTCACACCAG